ATGGCTCATCGTCGTGGTGTCGACCCGAAGAATTGTCTGTTAATCAATTCCACAGTATCGTCTAAGATGCTGAAGGCGTTATCTGATTACTACGGTGGAGTGTATGAGGATACTCTAACAGGTTCAAAATGGATGGCTAACAAGTCATTGGAGATGACCGCTGAACACTCCAATTTGGTACACTGTACGGCTTATGAGGAGGCACTAGGAAGTGCCCTCACGATGAGTGTCCCTGATAAGGATGGTATCAGTGCTTGCAGTGTCTGGTGTGAGATGGCTAACTTTTGGCGTAAGGAGAAAGGTATCACTCTTCTTGAACGACTAAATGAACTCCGTAAGATGGTTGGTTTCTTCGCACAACACAACGGTTACTTCATCTGTGATGATCCTAAGGTTATGAAACAGATGTTTGATGAGTTCCGTAATGAGGGTAACTACAAGACCGAGCTCGGGTCATCTAAGATAGCTGATGTTCGTGATGTTACTCTTGGTTATGATTCAAGGAGGAAGGATAAGAAGTCTACATTACCTATGACACCGGATGCTCAGATGATTACTCTCTACTTCGATGATCAAGCTACTGTTACTATCCGTGGATCTGGTACTGAACCCAAGGTGAAGTACTACTGTGAGGCTAACGATAAGGAGAGTATGGAGAAGGCTCAGGAGAAGCTCGAAGTCGTCGTTAAAAATGTCATCGACTACTTCCTCCAACCCAAGAAGTACAATTTGGGTTCTCGATAAGGCAATTGTTGATTCATCGTTCTGATTCCAGAGAACTCTGGGCTACGATCAGACGGTGTTTCGTCATAGGACCATTCATCAGGATCCATTCTTTTTCTGGATCCGAACTTAATATGCGATACATTGTATCGTAGAATTTTTCTGAGAATCATCGGTGTTGTTTTTAGTAGTTTCTTCGGTTAGTGCGGTCTCGCTTGAGAGCACTAACGACCTACATCGAACTTAGACCTCGTTGAGACCTCAGTGAGTTGCTGAGATCCGGGTTCGATAGGAAGTCCGATTGCATGGCAGAGCCCAGAGGAGGTGCTCTGAATGTGAAAACGGTTTTCTTATTCGGGTCTTCTCCCCAGGGAGAACTCTTCCAGGAAAATGGAGCAGGTATATCGCACTGAGGCTTCAACTCGATTCATTCGCGGGGTTTGCCATTGATAAGGAACAGGTTGAGTCTTGCGGTGGGCCATCAAGCCCGATTTGAAGATGAACTAGAGCTCAACACAATGCAATAGAGGATACATTCACCCTGAATCATTATGATCTAATCATAACAATGAGCTAGTGGTTGCATCACTGTACATTTTATGTTCATTCTCGTAACGAACAGTGGAATGCGGGGCTGTGAGTAGATCAGAGTAGGATGTAATATGGTGGAGACTTCAAGACCAACTTCGACCGACTCGGCAAGAAAAAAAGGACGCTTTCCGGCGTCTCAAAGTTGGTTGGCATGACATTATCAAGGGGGATCTAACTCGAAACTCGCCTACAGCGCCTCATACCGAATCCGCGCCGGGCTAGCCGCTGTATAGGCCGTTGGTCAAAGACCTTCCTCTGCCTCCTTCCGGAGCTTCTTCCTCTCCTCAACCTTAACCATTGTAGGGGGTGTTATGCATTAGGATGGTAGGTGGACACGTATTCTTGCCGATAAGAACGCTGCCGAGCTTATACACAGTGGTAGCTTTGCGGAGTAGAGGTCTTCGTCCCGATTTCGTCGAGTCGACTATCTTCGTAACTCTTATCATGTGTTAGGAGTTGAACATGCGATACTTCCATTTTCAACCCCCCATTCAGCTTTGCACGTCACCACTACTGCTGTAGTTGGATGTCGAGGCGTGCAATTCGACTGGTTGAGGCTGTTGATAAGAGCTTCATTCGCAGTTTCATAATCTACCATATCAGATGTGTATAATTCTGTCCCCACCAAGGAGGAACGAACGTACGCTCAAGTGAGCGAATCACGTTACACACTCTACATAGGGCATATTCTTGAGAGCGAGTCGAATGGCCGAAGTGGAGTTAGAGGTGCGAGCATAGTGAAGACCTGGACACTTCGGTGAGATGATCCGGGCTCGTATTCCAACCAACCAACACACAACGGCACTGCGGTCGGTTTGCCCGCGCCAACATCTGTTTAGAATCTGTGGCTGTCGGTGAGTGTGTGTTTTCTCCCATCGAGAATGGACTATAATAGTACACGATCGATTCAAATGTATACTTCAGAGGATGGTTCCTTTCAACCCCAATACAACAGGAGTTGGGACAAGACTTGTGTTGACGCAATGTCGACTGAAATGGGACAAGTTGCTCCTCGCTTAAGTGCTAGTAAAAGCCAAGCATTCATTAAAGGTGTTGTAGTCAGTGGGGTTTATGTGATCGAATCCAAGTGAGTCAATGACACTGACAATGATTGCCCTCTCAGTTAAGTTTTTAGTTTCTGTCTATTATGTCAAGCGCAGTTGAGAATTGGCTTTCTCTCGATTTCGATAAGAACACCCGTAAGGAAGCCCAAGAGCTTACCCCTGAGGAGATCGAAGATCGCCTCAATCCTAATCATCGTATGGAATTTGGTACCGCTGGTCTTCGTGGCGAGATGGGAGCTGGCTTCAACCGTATCAATTGTTTGACTGTGATGCAAGCTGCTCAAGGACTATGTATGCAATTGATGGAGAGGTTTGGTGAAGATGTTCTCTCTCAGAGAGGTGTCGTCTTTGGTTATGATGGACGTCATAATTCTCGTCAATTCGCTCATGTTGCCTCGGCTGTCTTCATCACGAAAGGTGCTAAAGTCTACCTCATCGACAAGACCAGTGTTACTCCTTCCAATCCATTCTTGATTGTTCATTTCCATGCTCTAGCTGGTGGTCAGATGACAGCCTCCCACAACCCGAAGCAGTACAATGGTTTCAAAGTATACGGCGATAACGGTGCTCAAATTATCCCTCCAGTTGATGCCGAGATCGAGGCTAAGATTGCTGAGAATTTGGTCCCATGGAAAGATGCTTTGGAGTTGTTGGATTTGGATACCTGTTTATTAAAGGACAAGTCCAAGACCATCGATCCTTACAATGATGCCTTGTACACCTACATCGATCAGATGTATCACGAGCTGTGCCGATTCCCTGACCTCAACAAGGACTGCAACTTACAGTTCGTCTACACGGCTATGCAAGGTGTTGGTCTTCCATTTGCTACCGGTTTGATGGACAAGTTTGGCTTCCCCAAGAAGTGTGTGTCGATCGTGGAAGCGCAGGCTCACCCTGATCCTGAGTTCTCCACTGTCGCCTTCCCCAACCCCGAAGAGAAGGGTGCACTCGACATGAGCAAGCAACAAGCAATAGATGAGGATGCCGATTATGTATTGGCAAATGATCCCGATGCTGATCGCTTTACTTCTTGCGAGAAGCAGAAGGACGGTTCATGGCATCAATTCACTGGTGATGAGCTTGGTACCATCTTTGGAGATTGGCAACTGTTGATGGCTCATCGTCGTGGTGTCGACCCGAAGAATTGTCTGGTCATCAATTCCACAGTATCGTCTAAGATGCTGAAGGCGTTATCTGATTACTACGGTGGAGTGTATGAGGATACTCTAACAGGTTTCAAATGGATGGCTAACAAGTCATTGGAGATGACCGCTGAACACTCCAATTTGGTACACTGTACGGCTTATGAGGAGGCACTAGGAAGTGCCCTCACGATGAGTGTCCCTGATAAGGATGGTATCAGTGCTTGCAGTGTCTGGTGTGAGATGGCTAACTATTGGCGTAAGGAGAAAGGTATCACTCTTCTTGAACGACTTAATGAACTCCGTAAGATGGTTGGTTTCTTCGCACAACACAACGGTTACTTCATCTGTGATGATCCTAAGGTTATGAAACAGATGTTTGATGAGTTCCGTAATGAGGGTAACTATAAGACCGAGCTCGGGTCATCTAAGATAGCTGATGTTCGTGATGTTACTCTTGGTTATGATTCAAGGAGGAAGGATAAGAAGTCTACCTTACCTATGACACCGGATGCTCAGATGATTACTCTCTACTTCGATGATCAAGCTACTGTTACTATCCGTGGATCTGGTACTGAACCCAAGGTGAAGTACTACTGTGAGGCTAACGATAAGGAGAGTATGGAGAAGGCTCAGGAGAAGCTCGAAGTCGTCGTTAAAAATGTCATCGACTACTTCCTCCAACCCAAGAAGTACAATTTGGGTTCTCGATAAGAACCTCCGTTAGTTCCTCTTTTGGATCACAGAGAGTTCTGGGTTTCGAATTAGTAGTTTCTTACCATTAAAAGTTTCATCTGGATCCCTATAGGTTTGTATCCAAAATATGACACATTGTGTCTCTAAGAATTGTTTATCAGAAAGGTTTTAACAGTGTCGAGTTCTCAACGCCGATTTGAGTCAATACTAGTGTTAACTCATCGATGAAGGTCTTTGATGAGAATGAAGAGTTCGACCTTTAGTTGCGATGTCGGTAGATGTGCGCTTGAGTTACGACTCTGCTGTATCTTCTTTGTTCTCGTAAGGGATATAAAACACTATTTGGTCCATGCCGTCGAGACAGTGAGTGGAGTAGCTGCGACAAACGCTATATTAACGTAACATTCAATATTCTGCTTGGAATGTGAAACAGAAAACCGAGAGCGATTCGGACTCGTTTTATTCGACTCGTACTCAATGAGACCTTCGAATCGCACTTTCGAAGGTCTCATTGAGTTATGACCTTTCGACCGTGAATAACTCATTACTCATCCTCATTACTTGAATGTAGGAATGAATCAGCAGAGGATACTTTGAGTGACCACGTCCTTAACCACAAGGATTCCTTGAAAGCTCACGAATACAAACTCGGAAGAGTCGATAGATAATTTGATAGCTTGAACCTGTTCAAAATAGCGAGTACCATATTGCAGTAATCTCAAGTTACAATACCTTAAACGCCGAGAGGGAAGGAGGTTTATTGGCAGAGGTTATCTCGCCCTGTTGACAAAACTCATTGGCACGATGAAAGCAGACAATTTAAAAGGCCAAATCTGATCCCTCGGGAGCTAAAGTGCATCGATGCGAGCCTAACTAAGCCGTGTTATCGTAGGCGTTGGACTCTAAACTCATACACACACCTTGAACGACTGAAGGCTCCATTAAGGCTGCCTTTTGTCGTCAAAACGACAACACTGAAAGCCACATCCCAGCTGAAACTTTATTATTCTCTAATGAGCTTGATGAAGGTGATTTAGACATCGGAGGAGGACCGTGTAATAAACCAAGCACAACCAAATTCGCACATCTTTGAGGTAAACTCCGAATTCCAACCGCCCAACTCTTGCTTTTCGACGCGCTCATCGAGAAGAATTCATTTTGAAGACTATTACTATTAGTACCACTACTAGGAAGCCATCCCTCTGATTATTCATAATGTCAGTCTCCCGCTCTAGCCGTCGAGCGAGTGATAGTGCCATTTTCGAGATAGTATTATACCGACCTACGCGTGACACAGAATCGTGTTCTTCAATGGCGTACAACAAGATAATTCTCACAAATTTGCCACACACCCAGTGAGGTTCCCACTAGACAACACAAGCCAGAACATAAAGGGAGATGAACGAATAACTATATAACCACGTTTCACGCAGTATAAATGAATCGCGACCAATCGCGAGAAAGCTCTCACAACATATTCCCGAAACGGTTATCCGGTTATAGCTTATACAAGCTACGACGAATTGAGTTAATTCAACTACTACTCCGCCATTTGGGAACAACAGATGATCATTATCGGAATGAAAAGTATATCCCGTAATGGTTTAGGTAGACAGACTAAACAACAATTCAGTAAAGAGGCCTCAGCCTCATAGAACACACAAGGACACCAAAAGGGCTTTGTAGTAGATGCAGAAAGGATAAACCTCCTCCACAGTGGCTCCAACACGCACTTTATACAGTCTCCCAGAGTCGCTATCACAACAACTGAGGGCCCACGGTTACGTGCCAACGACCGCGTTAAATAACATCCCAATCGGGCTATTGCGAGGCCAAGATTTGAGATAGAATCTAACGAGTTGCAGGGTTGAAGTCGAATGCAGAGGGATTTATGGGAACGAGTACAGTAAGATATAGGGGATATATTAAGCATAACAATGAGGTTGGTAGTAGGTAACTGAATGACCTCCCTGAAGAGGTGACATGCTACCTTACCAGCAGAGGCTCTTCAAGTTGCCAATGGCTTCCAGAAGAACCAGAGAACAGCAGTATGAGTAGTAGAAGTCTTGAAAGGCGAAGTGAGGTAAGCTGATTAACAGCTAGGGATAATGGCAATCTACGGCAAAGATGAGAAAAGAACCGTAGGGCTTACGTCGAGTTACCTCTGGAAATACCTTACGCCTATTAGACGGAAAATGAACAACTGGTCATCATCTGTTTCTCAGCACGATGAGATATAAGAAAACAACAGCAGGAAACAGCTCAACCACACTAAGCGCGGAGGCTGCTTCATTCGTCATTGACATAATGGTCATAACCAGTATGAACACATAAGTATATGGCTGATCTTACACCTGTTGGCAAGCAGCCGAGAGGCTCTCCTGCAACAGGAGCTCAAGCTCGAGCTCCTCGTCAGAAAAGTGCGGCAGTAACTCGAACAACGATGCATTAGCTTCCTCAAAACCATTCATTAGATCAACGCTTGGAGAGGGCGGCAACGAACAACCACTATCAACAGAGCTCAGAGTCAACGGGTAGGGTGAACTACCTAGAACACTATCGAACGACTGGTCACGAGTGATGTGATCAAGGGAGTTGCTGCTACTCAGGGTGGACCCACCGAACGAGGACACATCAGACCTTGACGGTGACAAGTAACCTCTGCTAGCGTTGCTCAATAGCGAGGAGCTGTCAGTAGATGTGGGATCAGTAAGTAGACACTCGGAGAGTAGATCACGATATACCGCACCATAATCACGAGGGGAACAAGCAGGAACATCGACGCCAGTCTGTGTAGCCAACTCAGATCTTCTGAGCATCTCGAGGCGCTTCATAGCAGACAGATATTGTCTGTTCATAGGGGGCTTGATGGGACTCTCACCATTCTCAGTGGCACGAGCATATGCTAGAGCCAGCTTAGCACGCTTCTTCTTAGAAGGGCGTTGACGGGACTTTGCCTTCCGGTTCGCCTTGCGTTCTTCGTCGGCGGGAAGGGCACAATCCATGTTGTGACATCGTTTACAGTCGGGTCCTTCACGACAACCTCGACTAGAGTTGGCAAACCAGCAGCCACGCCCGCAATAAGGGGAATTGCAAGTGCCAACAGACACTACACCGAGCACGACCTTGCCCTGAGCAGACACCATAGTGGGGACTTTCACAGAGGCTGGGATGCACTGAATAGGCGCCGGCAAAGGAAAAGCACCAATGGGGGGAATTGAGAGCTGCGTACTATACATGACAACGGGCACAACAACTACAACCACGACAAGTCTGATGGAACCGATCACTATTTTTTGCATCCGGGGCGCGCGCTAATGGCGACTCTAGCGGGGCGTAGCGATGCATGATTCGTAACTTTCCCATGTACTATAGGCAACACAAAGCCGTATGATGTGGAAACTAATTCCAAGAGCATTTATAGCGATACGATGATAAGTAGCTCGTACGATAAATATGATGATGGTGATAAAAGACGTTTGAATGGTATAGTAGGCTTGAAGTCAACATTCTTGGCCATATTCATTATCAGAGACAACAGGGAGAATGCTCAACGCCTAGACCGTGGAGCTTGGGGGCCTTTAGAAAGGTAGCTTGTGTTCTGGATAACCACAAGGCCGCCGGTGAGAGCTGTTGCCACGACATGGTCAGTGGGCCTGATGAGAAATGTTACTCTTTGCATCCATTATCGGGACTCACTCAGAATGTCCAGTTCGAACACAGACGGCTGCGATAGGGTCACCAGGCATGGGCTTCACCGTTCCTCCACCACTGAGAGCAGTCGCCTTTTAACACTCACACAAGGTAACCCCTCACCTAAGTATGCTGGCCTTCCGCCTTCTGACCGGCCTCGTAATGGGTCTTTGTAGTTCGCAGTGGATTCGTACGTTACCACCCGAGAAAAAGGCTTGCCGATGATGCTGCACTTCAGAGAAAGCATGGGATCCTGAAATGTTGCTTCCAAACTCCACGAATGTGCTTAGGACAGAGCTACCAGTCATCGTGCTCATATGCGACTTCAAAGTCTTGGACGCATCCACGGCAGTATAGCTAAACCGCGCAATGAGGTACTGAATC